GAAAGGCGGCGAGGTTTCGGTAACACAAGGCCGTCGGCACAGAGTTAGTCGTGGTAGCTCTCCGGGCTGGATGATCGCGCCGCTTTTGGAAGTCAGCGGCATAAACCCCAGCTACCTTCTGAGAAATTGCGGGTTGCGTTCCCGCCTGCGACAGGGCGAACCGCTTTTGTCTTCAAAGCGCGTTCTTCCCTGATTTCAGTTCAAGGGTAGTGACAGTCGTGCCAACGATTAATTTTTATTAAAGACTTCTGTGCTACCATAAAACACTAAAACTAGAATGCAATGGCAGGAACATAATGTAATAATAATAATAAATCGATTTACAATAATGGCCAAGAGCTGTGACATTCACTGTCCAGATGCTGAAATGGAAATACTTAGTGTTCCAGAAAGTATTTTGGTTTGGGTTTTTTTTTTCAGACCAGGTCAATTTCTTGAACTTACTTATTGTAAGGTGTTACTGGGCGTTGCACAACAAATGTACCAAGGTTTTGCTAAACTTGGTAATTGTTTTTTTCTTAATTGCCACTAACCGCAATAATTAACTGCGGGTCACTGGCCTGGCAATAGTCAGCAATAAAATTTTGAGTATTAGACCAAGGCTTGGCCTCTTTTCTGGATCCTCAGCCCAGATAAACAAACACCACCTTTTTTTCTGATGTTAGGCTGTAGGAAATTCGCATTAAAAAATTCAGTGAAAGTTCTTATGGAAAGGGAAGGTCATTTTATGGTACAAAATCTCCAGGCAAGTTGATTTTATGCCCAGTTTCATACTCACAAGCTGCAGGCATTCAAGCGGTCTAGCCAGGATCTTCTGGGTTCCTCTTCATTCTGAGAAGAAAAAGATTTTGAGATATCTCTCTTATATCACTTGGAGTGGTCTTTTGTTTTCACTGCTACCTTCCTGTTATGCTGAGAGGAAAAGGGGCACCATGAGTGATACAGGGCAATCTCGCTGCCATCTGCCAACTTCCACCGACAAGTTGTCTCTTGTAGTTTTATTAGGCTTGTCCCAGGCTTGATAGAAACAACCTATTTCTCAATTTGCTTAATTAGAAACAGCATCCTTTGTAGTTAATACAGGACATTCGGTGTTTGCTCTTTCTTTAGCTGCTTTTGCACACGCACATGCATGTGTTCATACGTCGTTCACACCAGTTGTAATATTTCTCTTGCAAGGCTCTAGAAGGTCTCCTGTTTTAAAACTCCATTGCTCACAGGGCAAAATATCAGATTTGACACAATTTCAAGCCCCTGCCAAAATTAATTAACAAAGATGCTGACATAGTGGCCAAGAGCCCACATAAAACCAGAAACCCTTTCTTGTTTAAGACACAGATGTGTGAGAATGTTTGCAGCACTGCTATTAAACTGTCTTAAGGAATGGGGTGGTGTTTGCACCTTTCCTGAGTCATCCCAGGCTCACTCCTGTGTTAACTGTGCCTGTTCTACTGGTCTCAATATCTCAGTGCACAAAGCAGTGCCTTTTGATCTACGAAAAAAGAAAGCACCCCCCCCCCCCCCCCCGATCAGGTCTGACCTGTTTCTGGAGGCTGGGGGTCAAGGCAGTGGATCGTCCAGCTGGAGACATCTGTCCTTGGACACATCTTA